AAAGAAATTCGTGTTCTCCATTTTCATGAGCAAATTACCATCGATATTTGAAGATTACTTTCGATGTTTGTCTTTTTTTTTGGAAAAACCCGGATTTTAGAAAGAAATCTTAAAAGTCAAACGAGTGTCGAAAACATTCTACTAATGGACTTTCAAATCCCCATCCGAATCCTCATATCAAATTCAGAATACTATTTAGAAGAATACTTTTTCAATAAAAAAAAAGAGAATTGATAAAATTTTAAGCAACAGTGAAAATAATTCGTTGCTGTCGATCAAGCATGAGAACACCGTTAGCAGTATAAGTGTTAATACATTGCTGCACAACTTCCTCCGAGATTCCCTTAGCGAAACACCTTTTAAATACTGCCTGTAGTGGAAGTGAACGATCCTCATTATCACTGATGCTGTGATACAGGTCACGAATGACGGCAAATGCCTGGTCAAGAAGAGGAATCTCACGTTGTTTTAATTGTTCTGTATTGATCGAAGCTCGACAAGCCTAAGATAGAAATACATATAAATTCTAACTCACTGATAATTAGTCACCTGGTCACCTTGATTAATTCGACGAGTAAATACTTGGAAATAACATGTGATTCCAAAATTTCTCAGAAACTTCACAGAGCTTTAAAAATTGAGATTAACATTTCATAGAATTAAAGAAAAATTCCAAATATGACCTCCAGAAGACGAACTGCTTCATCTATATCACTAGATTGAACCACGTCTGAAAGGCGCAAACGAGCCAGTGCTGAACTCAGTCGAATAACTGCCAATAAACTTCGTGGCGAAGTGAATATTGAATTCTAAACAGCAATATATTTTAAAAAAAATGAAAATGCTGTCAATTTATAATGACAAACTATCCTTACACAATCTTTCCGTCATATGAATAAAAAACATGAATAATTCAATAAATTGCCAAATCCGACCTTATTATTCCGTGCAACCTTACGAAGATCCACATACATATCCACTAATCGGTCACGCAGTTTTTCTTCAACAATAGGTTGTTTTCGTTTACATATTGCAATGTATCGTCTAAAACAACGAATCAATTTCAAGAAAAGATTATTGCTTTTGCAACAAAAGATGTCACACAAAAATTCATCTGCAGATATGGAACAATAGGCAACCGAACGAATGTCAATACTACATTGTGATATATATTGCAATTTTTAACATAATTAAACTTTCCATAATTAATTATAAAAACGACTCGAAAAACCAAAAGTTAAATATTCGATTTACTACTTGAAATATTTATAAAAAATATTTATTTTTAGCTTTTTAAAAATTGACCTGATTAAACTCATATCAAGCGGTTTCATTCCTTCCTTCTCTGGTTCACGTCCTTTCATATGAACATACGTGATATGCTCTGCCAAACGCTTGTCATTTTCACGATCCGGTCGGTCCTAAGTAACTTATTTAAAAAAATTGCGAAAGTGGATATTTAAAATCAAAAAGAAATCGAAAATCGAAAACCTGAATAAGCCAAAGAAGGTCAAAACGTGAGAGAAGTGCTGCTGGAAGATCAATATTATGTTCGATGCTTTTTTTCGGATTGTATCGCCCAAATGCCGGATTCGCGGCAGCGATAATAGAAACACGAGCATTTAGCGTCGTCAAAATTCCTGCTTTAGCTATTGAGATTGTTTGCTGCTCCATGACCTAAATATTGAAGAATTAAAACCAAATATAAAACTGGTATTTGAACATAAATCTATAACATTAAAACTAAACAGATTAGGCTATCCTAATCCTGGCATTTCAAAATGCAAAAATTAATCGACAAGTTATATCCAAGCACTATTTCTAATGATAATACCATCTGTTGTAACAGTCAGAAAAATTCAAAACAAAATAAATAAGACAGGAAAAAAATTTAATTTCAAATACAATTAAAAAAAGTCACACCTCATGGATGGCTGTTCGATCAGCATCCATCATTTTATCAAATTCATCGATACAACAAATGCCTTGATCAGCTAGCACCAATGCTCCTCCTTCTAATGTCATTTCACCAGTAACAGGATCTTTCATTACAGCAGCCGTAAGACCAACACCAGAAGAACCTCGACCAGTTGTATACTGAGAACGAACTGCCAAACGATCAACGTACGACAGAAGTTGTGACTTCGCTACACCGGGATCACCCATCAAAAGAATATTGATGCAACCTATACCAAATATAGGGATATGGAAATGAAATAATGTTAAATCAAATTTAGTTTTTACTAGCAAATTTCACTTCCAAAATAAGTTAGCATATCATACTAACTTATTTTGGAAGTGAGGTTTGTACAAAATCATACCTCTAACTTTCATTCCACTGACATTTTTGTCAACACCACCAACAAGAGCAAGTAGTAATGATTTTTTGACATCCAAATGTCCATAGATTTCAGGAGCAATACTGTAAGCCAATAATTCGTAGAAATTATCTTGCGAAACTACTTCAATTTCCTCCTCTGTCAGTTCGTATTGCTCGTCAAGGATATCTTCACTGGTCTTAAAAATTAGCCTTTTCTTATTACAATAAAAAAATGTTCACGATATTCATGACTTTGACAATATTACTGAAAATCCATTATCCTAATTCTAAGATATTAGCAAGTTGTTTTGATAAATGTGGTAATGAAGAACATTTTCCATTATCCTTTTTTATATGCAAACTGCTAACTTCGAAGTACAAGAAAAACATCCCGCTTTTCGGATTATCACTATAAAATCCCAACGATCCAATGCAATTGTTTGGAAGAGCCACAATAAAACAATGCATGAAAATCTCAAAAAAAGTTCAAACCATATTGATATTTTCGATATGATGTGCTTCCACAAAAACTTCCGTTGTCAAGCCTCCAGTAAATTGCCGAAAACCAGTCCGCATTAGAGGAGCAAATATACCAGTAATCCGGACAACATCGCCTGGCACACAAGCTCTTGCGTTTTCGCCAACAACATTTACTATCAAAGATCGTGGTATACTACCAACAGGAACTTGTTCACTCTAAATTGAAAAAAATTGAAGCAGTTTTGAGGCTAGTACTCAGTAAATAAATTTGAAACAAAATATTAGGACATTAACAACCGAAACTTTCATACTTCTATAATACAACAAATTTCAACTCAAAATAATTGTACGAAATAAATTTGTAAGATAAACATTAAAAAAATACAAGCTCCTGAATTCTCATTTCCTGAAATTTCATAAATTTAGATCCACGAATCTGCATTTGCAGGCGTCCATTTGCCCTGTTCTCAACGCAGTCTTTCGATGGACAATTAACTGGCGGCATAAATGCCGGCCCTGCAATCTGAAATTTAGAAAATTTCTAATTATTAAGATTTTACGTAGCTTCTTTTTTGCAAGTACTACATTCCGTAAATGACATAGATCTCTCCTTAGTCAAAATTAAATTACTGTTAGATTTTGTGTATAAAAATAAACTATTAACCGGTTGATAGGTTTCACAACCACAAGTGTCACAAGTATAGGTCATGACAGAAGCCATTGGTTTCACTTCTGTCGATCGGATAACAATGCCACTTATAACAACCAATTTGCCGATGTGAGCTGCCTTTACTTCACGTATTGCCAAAGCTTTACTCATAGAGCTTCCCTTGAAAAATACTTCGCTGAAATATATAACTTTTCTGAAAGCAGTTCAATACATCCTCCAAAGTATGCAATTCTTCTAAACAAGGGAATTTCTAAGATATTCAGGCATTATGAAAAGTTGAAATGCATTGAGATTGCCATCTATACATCACTGAACTAACCAAAATAAAAATTGCCTCATATTGCTAAAAATCCAAAACTTTTGAAATGAAGCACTGAAAATCATACAATCGACGAAGCAACTGAGGTGGATATTTTCTGCGCAAGTCTTGGATTTGATCTATTCCACCACCATCTTCATTTTGCTTTTTATCCAAATAGACACGTTGAAATATGAAAGCGTCCAAGGCATCCCGAACAGGTGGCTAAACATATATGTGAGTATTGCAAAACTATAATCTAAAAAAATTTCTGCTCTTAAAAAAAGAAAAACCGTAAGAAAACAATACGAACGTAAAATTCATGAATAAAAAGTTTGACAGCAACACATTTGTTGTTAAAGTAAATAACAACCGACTCAATATAAACTTAACATAAAGGATATGACTAATTCGATTGCCTGGTATTGGTCGCTAAACGTAGAATATAGCAGAAAAGCTACAGTACCAAATTTGAAAGTAATGGAATATCAGTACCAAAGCGGCTGAATCATTAATGAACTCATACATTACCATGACAATTAGATGACTGAGGTGGAAATATTTGACAAGGTATAAATATTTGACAAGTGAAAAAAAGAAACAGTTGACGTACTTGTCTCTCTCCCAATTTTTGCTGGATTAAAGAATCGATTACATCACCAAAAAGCATATGATAACGTCGAGCGTTCTGCTGAATAGCAATGTAAAGCGCAGGATCGTACTCATTTACATCATCCATGTTGATAAATAGTTCAACCTACAAAATTTTTGGGAATATTAAGCAGTTACTGTACCGTAAAAGCTTTTTAACAAAATTTATTGAGCTATGAAATGAAAGATCCA